ACTGTAGACATTATTTACCCAAACTACAAACCCCTATTTTGGCTCCATGCTGATACTTAGAACTACATTTGGTGAAATCAAAATAGGGATTTGTAGTTTGAGTAAATAATGTCTACAGTATCTCCAGCCTTGTTTGCCTTCTTTTTTTATGATCCCCATTTGCAGATTTTAAATTCCCAATTTTTCTATTTATCTTGTTTGATGCCTTTTTTATGCTCAACTATGAGCAAAGGATTACTTGATATGGTAGCTAACTTTATAGTAGCTAGCTGATATGGTACATGATGATTTACTGTAGTTACTGACTATTTGACCACATTAGTTTGAGATGTAAAATGTTAAGCTGCAGCCCATGATTTGTTTGAGAATATAGTAACCACTGATATAATGCATAGCAATGAGCAAATATATGCCTAGACTAAGACACAACCCCCACTAATCACATATAAATTTTTACCAATAGAAAAGCAGCCTTTTCAAATAAAAACATACATGACTAAAACATTAATCTAAATAATCCTTCGTGTCTTTGAAACTAATTATTCTATGAATGTGTGTATTGATTTTTTTTTTTTTACTCCTTCACTTCATAAATACTATAGGGGTTCACTCCCTTAAGACACCGATTGTATATTGTACAAAGTATGTACATGATACAGTCATCTAATGTTCATTTATTACTGGCTGTTACTTCCTGTTTCATCCTGTACTTAAGCTTTTTGAGGAACACCACATACTTGTAAAAAAGCTAACTTTAGGTACAAGGGGTCAAGTAATAACAATTTACATTGTTTACACTATAATTACGATGTTTTTTAGTTTATATAAACTATATAAAAAACAAATCCACTTTCCATACCCCTACGACCTTCACAGTAACTTATTTAGTATTCTACAAAAGGTTTGGGTACAATATACCAAACAGTTTTTGTTGTGGGCTGGCAAGAGAATAATAATAATTACAAACGGGCCGTTTTGAGCGGATTTTCTTTTCCTTGCAAGTCTAATATGATTGCTTTTTGTGCATTTTTGTATGTGTACAGCCTTAGCAGTCAACAGTCAAGGTTTTAAAGTGTTGTTTGAACCGAGTCTATTCTGTTTAAGTTGCTTTTTGCCCGAACGTTCTTTGTGCAATTCCTTGCGATCCCCAGTATAACTATAATTCTTTGTTCCGTAATAGTGGTAACCTACTAACTGACAAGATCTAAATAATGAGTAAATTGTAACTATAACTTGTAAGTAAATACAAAATTGGGCCCAATTTTCATAAAAGAAATACTAATTATCAGAATAATAATTTTCACCTTCCAAGATTCATCCCCATTGATATGTTCCTATCACAGCGGTACTTGTCGAAACCATCGCTTCTTAAATTTACCGAAACAAGGCTGACGTGAGAATTGTCCATTGCCTGTAAGCTGATGCCCGTGGCTGAGCAGTCCCATGTTGCCTCGTTGATCAAATCTTTGATAGCTTCTAAAACTTTCTTCAACAAGGATCCTTGAACGAGACGTGCTTCAAACATATTTATATAAATTAGATGCAAGTTTCAAATGAAAAATACAAAATGATAACTCTTCACAAGACAGTCTTACAAGTTTCAGCTGCACCAAATACGTCTAACGCGCCAAAACAACAATACTTTAGTGCCAAACCCCGCGTTTCCCGCCACCTAATCCATAGTATGCGCATGTGCCTTATCATGTTGGGACGGGTTTCTTTTCTCACTTATGTAGGTGCTACAAGTTAACGAACTGACAAAACATATTTGATGCTGGAAAATCTATTGTAATTAATGAAAATATTTTTTTCTAAAAACTCCAGATCATAAATATTCAAATTTCAAAACAAGAAACTTTTATTTTAAACGAATAAAAGTATGTTTGTTGTTTTCTGTTCCCTGAAGGTGTCGTAAATATACCTAACAAATTTTAAATTATTAATATCAACTATTTTAACAACAACATTTTAAAAGATTTAAACGGAAATGAAGGGATTTAGATATTTAAAATATCCATATTGTTTCGACATAGGGGTCACGCGACTGTTGAAATTAAGTGTATCGCAAAGTTATATTCAGAAAGAATAAACCAGTTTTATTTAAGAAAGGACTTGTGTCGCTAAAGTTTCGTCGGAACGAATTTACGGAAAATTAATTAACGAACGGAGACGTAACAATATGTATTTTCACTTTTAATTAATTTTAATTTTTAATTTAATTTTCACGTTTTATTAGTTACCTTCACGTTTATTAAGTTGTAAACAATGCTTATTTTTACTTCCGTTATTGCTTCTGCGTGGACTTCCAAGGTAAATGAGGCCACAAAGAAGAATACCTACCCACTGCCCAGGATTGATTCTACTTTGGTTACTCTATAAGAATCAAAATAGTTTTCAACATTGGATTTTAAAAGTGCGTATTGGCTAGTGCAAGTTGACAAAGCAAGTATACAGAAGACAGTTTTTACTGTAGGAAAATGTTTGTGGCAATTTGTTGTGTTACCATTTGGATTGTGTAATACTCCTGTTATATTTGAATACGTGATGTTGTGTGTTTTGTCTGAACTACCATAGAATGCTGTACTCATCTACTTGTATGATATAATCACACATGGCATGACCTATGATAATGTGTATGATAGGCAAAGGAAAGTTCTGGATTTCTTGATGAAAGAGAAACTTAAAATGATTTAAAAAGTGTGAATTATTCTGTCAACAGATGAGTTTCATGGGACAGATAGTCAGAAGAGATGGAACGTCAACAGATTGGCTCTGTGCAAAATTGACCAACACCAAAGAACATGCGAGAGTTAAGAGTATTTCTTGGACTATGCTCTTACTGTGATCGTTTTGTAATATCATTTTTTGAAATAGCTCATCATCTACACAAATTATTTAAAAAGTCAAATAAGTTTTGTTAGACTGCTGATTGTGAACAAGCATTCAACAAACTGAAGAAAGAACAACCACTACCCCTATATTAGTGTAACCAATTCTTGAAAATCTACTTATTTTAGATATAGATATTAGTCATTTTACAATGGTAGCAGTGTCAGAAGTACAAAATAGAAGATGACATGTGATTGCCTACTATAGCAAGACAACGAATGCTGTAGAAAGGAGGTATTGCACTATTTGAAAATAGCTACCAAGTGTTTAGGTTTCGATAATCGTGATGGATAGAGAACAGGTTTCTCAATGTATAGCAAAATCATAACAAAATAATTTAGACAAATCAGTAAAAAAATGCGAAACGTACTTCTCGAGGGGTGCCACTCTAGATTCAAAATGCTTCTGTCACCTATGCAGTCCATCTTTTAGCCTATCAGTTAAAAATTAGGAATGGCTAGCGTAGATAGCTTTGTACGAATATTCGAAATAAGCAAAAAGAAACATGTAAATGCTAACTTGAAACAAGTTGCAGGAAGTAACTTTTAACTCTCTTGCACACGTTTACGATCTTGTGACATCCAGTCAACAAGGAAGAAATTACCCACATACAAGAAATGCATGGGAAATTTAGAGAAATGATATTAATACATCAGAACAGAGATATATCATACACCAATTATGAAAGGGTGAGATTAGTATCTGTAGCTGTTTCAACTACGACAACTATCACCATAATAAATTAAACAATATTTGACTTTTAACACAACTGGGTTATGTTTGTTGCAATACGAAACTAGAGGGGCACTCAGTAAAGCGCACACCTCCGCCATGCAGCGGTGGTCATATTCAGCTCTCAAAAATACGAAACTGTGTCTATATGTCCGTCATTACCAATTTTGGGCAGGACAATGAGGAATAATATTGTTACGACAGCGGGAAGTCACGTGACGCTGTAACACATCATGAGATTCTCGAAGGATCTTGAATTGCCCTGGGAACTCTAGTCTGTTCCATGCGCACTCTTTTTTTTTAGTATATAAGCCCGGCAAATAAAGCAGGAATGATATAGACAGAGAGATTGAAGATAGAGATAATCAAGTCAAGCCGT